CCTGACACGCCATCTTTCCCAGTATGGTATCTTTCCCCCAAGAATGGGCCCCTCCTGACAACACTATCAAGTATGTGAGACAAAGAGTCACCATTCCTGTCTCTAAGGAGCCCTCTGGTTGCACTTCTCCTAAGACAGACCAGTTTGTTCTCTCAGCAGTCCTATCCAGCTATAGCTGGGTTGTTGTTTTGTTGTTATGTGCTGCTGAGTTGGAACCAACTCATGGCTGACCCTCCAACTGATTTTCAGAGCCAGTAAATCATATGGAAGGGAAATGTGCATCTTTCTCCTAAGGAGCAGTTGGTGGAGTTAAACCACATGCCTTTGGGTTGGCACCATAGTTCCTTACGCAACTGGGCCACCAGAGCTCCCTCTGACTGGGTAAGACTATACATGTGAGATGTTTGTGGCCCACAAGTGGACAGAATAGCTTACTAACAATGTATAAATACCTTCTGGGTAAGAATATGCAAATAAGGTGTGTTCAACACTAATGGAGAGATTAGTTAATTCTGTCATCCTACCAGGCTGAAACTGAGCAGGTTTGGTGGCAGAAAAGAGAATGTCATTACTGTGAAGAAAGAAGTACAAGCCAACGATTCCGGTGAGGGACAGAACAAGAATTAGTAGGTAATAAGGCATCCCAAATGAAAGTAGAACCAGAGATCAACATGAGACAGAGCTCAGCTGGATGTGACACTACCTGAAGCCAGGGCTAACCATATGAGCCTAGGCTTACTCTTAGAGCTGGGCTGGTGGAGACTGGAAAGAAGGTAAGGTGGCACGTGATTGACGAAACTAAGAGAGCTTCGTGCTGCTGAATTCTTGATGGGGATTCTTCCCCCTTCTGCTGCTCTGACTTACAAAATGTAAATACACACACATAGGGGAAACAGGAATTCTGGCGTAGAGAGTTGTGCTAACCCAAATACACGCCTCGGACTGTTCAAATCTACCAATAGTTCGTGGCGAGGAAGATGGGAAATCTCCTCTCAAAGGATTTTTTAAAAACCTCAAAAACACCAAGGAAGGGTCAGTTCTGAGTCAATGTCAGAAAGTTTTGAGATGATAAAAATAAAACAGTATGCGGTCTGGTTTAAATTCTTTAGCTATTAGCCACTATGAAAATTTAGAAAGTACCATAACTGGTCTGAAAGACGTGTGTAAAGCTTTCAATGAAAGGCACCAACTAATCACAAAAGAAAAACAGCACTGTATGGTCCATCCTGAAGTTGTTTAGTTTATCTACTGTATAATTTGTTTCCCAATTATACACTTGACAAATACATTTATTTAATATGGTATTAATGAAAGACTGCTTATTGCTTTCTCACTTTACCCAGCATGATAAATTAATTGAGATTATTCAGAAGAATGCACAAGGTCACTGTCAGCATGTACAGTTAACAGACCTCAAACTGTACATAGTAGGTATTGACTTGAAAACAATATAGTAAAAATATAAGACCATTTTTTCACATAACTGTTCTTTTAGGAGTTTCCTACAGAAAACAGAATTTTAAACTACCTAACACACCACATAGGTACATAGGACCTGAAGTGCTTGCTGCAGAAGGTCAAGGACTGCAACCTTCAATACAGATTGTGGCTCTATATCAAGAAGACAAAGATTCTCACCATGGGGCCAAATGGCAGCATCAGAATAGATGAAGAGATTGAGATTGTTAACAGCTTTAGTTTGCTTGGCTCCACAGTCAACACTCTTGGCACCAGCAGCCAGGAAATTAAGAGACGTATTGCCATGAGAAAGTCTGCAGTTAGAGACCTCTCCAAAGTACTGAAGAGCAATGGTGTCACTCTGGAGACTAAGGTGCACCTGATACAGGCCATAGTCTTTGCCATTACTTGCTGTGCTTTGGAGAGCTGGACAATGACTAGGAAGGATAGGAGAATTGATGTCTTTGAGCTGCGGTGCTGGAGAAGAGTATTGAATATACCATGGACTGTTAATAAAACGAACAGGTTCATCCTGGAGAGGGAGAAATCAGGCTGCTCCTTGGAGGCAAGGATTTTGAATCTTCATTTGACATACTTTGGACATGTTGCAGGAAGGGACCAGTCCTTGGAGAGGGATGTCATGCTTGGGAGGGTGGAGGAACAGCATAGGAGAGGAAGACCCTCTATGAGGTAGATTGATTCCGTGACTAGAGTAATGGGGGTGGGTGTATCGGAGACAGTGAGGTTGGCACAGGACAGAGCAGAGTTTAGGGCTGTTGTACACAGGGTCGCTATGAGTTGCAGGCGACTTGACGGCACATACCACCACCACCACCACCAAACCTAATTTGGTTAAACTTTGTTATGTTTTTTCCACAAAATACTCTGTCTGAGATCAAGATTTTATTTATCTGTAAAATTAGTAATTAGAACTATGTTTCTCTATGCATAAAAAAAAATATGATTACCTTGCTTAAGGAATACAGAGTTTCTATTGGGGGTGATGAAAAGTATTTAAAAATGAAGGGAAGTAATGGTCATGCAATATGGTGAATGTAATGAATGTCAGTAATTTAATGAATTTTAATCTCTACAGTTAAAATGGGAAGTTTTTGGTTCCACTGAATTTCTAAGCTTACCATCAAGTCGACTGTAACTCATAATGACCCTCCATCAGCCTTCCAACAGGGAGTGTCATTCTCCCCGGGAGCTGCTGGTGGTTCAAACAGCCATTGGCTTCAAATCACAGATACAAAGCCTTTTGGTTAGCAGAGCAACATGCCCCAGACTGTGCCCCTAAAGCTCCTTACATAATTACCATAATAAGATTTAAAAAGCAGTTCAATTATGTTACATACCACGCCACAGGGCTCCTTCACATAATTATTACTATCTTGAGTATGATTACGCCGTCTTGCAGCTACAGGCATGACACACAAGGTTTGAGTAATAATTAACTGAGCAGCTACAGAGATCAGGAGGCCATAAATGCCAGTCCGTATAAGGGAATGGAAGGAACCCTGGTCATGTAGTGCACTATACGTATTGGGCTGTTCACTGAAAGGTTGGCACTTTGAATCCACCAGGAGCTCCTCAGAAGAAAGATGAGACAGGTTCTGCTCATTAAGACTTACAGCTCAAAACAACTATGAGATACCATCTCACCCCAGTAACAACAGCAAAATTTAACAGAACAGCAAGCAACAAATGCTGGCGAGGTTGTGGAGAAACTGGAACCCTTACTGACTGTTGGTGGAAGCGTAAAATGGTACAACCACTGTGGAATGTGGTGTAGTGCTTTCTCAAAAAGTTGCAAATAGAGATACCATTTGACCCAGCAATTCCACTACTGGGAATATACTGCAAAGAGACACTAACTGCCACCCAAGCAGATATATGCACACTCATGTTTATTGCGGCTTTGTTCACGATAGCAAGGAGTTGGAAACAACTTAAGTGCCCATCAATAAACAAATGGATAGAGCTGTGGTATATTCACACAATGGAATGCTATGCTGCATTGAAAAACAAGGAATTCATGCAATGTTATTCAAAATGGGTGACCCTGGAGGACATTATGCTAAGTGAAATATCTCAGTCACAAAGGGACAAATACTGCATGGTGCCACTGTTGTAAAACGGGACTGACATCAAGGTTGGGGGGAGACTGAGAAAGATGGGATAAATAATGTATTCTGCATTGAAACAAATTAGGGAGAAAACTGTTTAAAAGGATATGTGATTAGGTATTATTGTCATGGCAGGAGTCCAGAGCGAAGGCTGCATAGTGGAGTGGACTTGGGGGGAGGGATTGTAAAACAATGAAAGAATTTTTCTTTTACTTTTCAAAGAGAAGAGTGTACAGGGTGGGGGAAAGGATGGGCAGGGCGAACAGTGAAACAATGAATGAATGGAATTCCAAAGTCTGTAAATTTTCATTAAAATTAATAAAAAAATGATTAAAAACCTGTGGAAACCTGATGGAGGGTTTGCTGTGAGCTGACTTAACTCAACAGCAGAGGATTTATAATTAAGGAAAAGACTTTCTAAGTTATTAAAATCATTTAAAATCATTGTCTTCTTGTTCCTTAATAAACTAAAACACTAGGATCATAAAGAAATTAGGTTAACTTTTAATTTTATTACCTTATCATTTATTACATATTTCAACATTCATGTAAGAGAAAAAGAAAATTCTTTTTTTAAAAAAAGACCAAAAACTTAAAGCATTCTAGGCCCACCACAAGGCCATACGACTAAAGATGAAGATGCTGCACACTGGGATCTTTTAACTCATCAAGTCTAGGTTTTGTTCTCTTTCCATAGGCTTCAGATTACAATTTCCTACCGAGGTCAGCTGGCCAGGCCAACACAAGTGTTCTGGTCCATGTGACAATAATTCTTACTATCAACTAAGCAAGTTAGTAAACTGGCATTCTAGCTGTAAATGTTTATTTCACACACATAGTTAACGAGTCCTCCCTGAGAGACAAAGCCCCCCTTGCCACGCTGACCAAATTCTGAGCCTGACACTGCAGTTTTCACAAATCTACTGAATACTGCTGCTACCCAGGAGGGCTCTTGGGAGGCAGCCAGGGCCTGCTGGCCATCCCCCAGCCTGGCCACTAAGAGCTCTTTCCATTAGAAACGCCTACATTCAGCAAGGAGATTAGCCCTGCTGGACTGGAGAGCGTGTGCCAGGAGGGAGATAAAGTTAAGCAGGCAGCTAGGGCCTGAAAACCAAGCACAGCTGAGGCTGCCACAGTAGTAGGGAGGCACCCCTGGGTCTCAGGACCCATTACCCAATAAGCAAGGTACATAAGGGCTAACTGTATTTACTTACTAATCTGTAGCAAACAGTTTCACCTGGATTTCTCAAAAGTTCAGTACAGTTCATAACTAAACACAATTAAGCCTGAGTGTACTACAGTTACTATAAACTGGTGTATACTATGTTTACTGGTTAATCTACCCCTTGCGGGTAGGTTAAGGCAAAAGGCAACAACTTCAACTGGTCCTTCCATCCCTCAACTTCAAAGTACCTTCTTGAGCGCCTCAACCTGCTGAGTATCTCCAGCACCAGCTCGGACCTGCGCCAGTTCCCTCTGTAAGGCTTCCATCTTCTCCCCAAGCTCCTCTTCCATTTCCTCTTTCTCCATCCGCAGCTGCAGAAGCCTGAGTCCAGGAAGGTGATACAAAGAGAAATGGGAATAAGATCTAACCACTTGCTTAGGGGTCAGCACACTGGGCACCTGCTCTTAGAAAGGAGGAAGGCAGATGTAGAAAAAGATTATCTAGGAAATAGATGAGTAAAATGGCAGTATGGGTAGAAAGGAAGTGGAATATAAGAAGTGTCTCTGAGTAGGGCAAGCTCCTTACTCCTGCTTGGTGGCTCTGAGCTCCTCCTTATTCTTCTGGAACATATTCTGCCAATGCCCTGTCTCCTCTGAGCTCTCCTCCAGCTCCCTCTGCAGCCCTCGTAGCAGGGCTGACATCTTCTGCCTCTCAGCCTCCAATGCCGCCTGGTCCTGGAGTGGGAGAGTTAAAGACCAGGAGGCTCACAGGAAAGAACTCAATTCAAACTAAGCTGTGTATGTTTAGAAGGCACCATGTGTGCGACACACCCTGAAACCTCAGGAGAATCAGTACAATACTAGCAGGAGGGATTCTCCCCAAGTCACAACCCAGCCCTGACCTCTACAGGAAGCCTTCCCTGGTTATCAAACTTAGAACATACCCTCATCACAATTCTGGTCTGCACTCTGCCTTTGCAGGATTTTTTAAAAATAAGGTTTATTATACAGTGAGTTCCCAAGGCTTCAAGACCCCTTCCCAAGCAGTGCCCATTTCTCCTAGTCCCTGCTCCTGTGACATGCCTGGGTTGCATCCTGCATGCTTTGGCGAAGCTGCTCTGTGTCTCGCTGGTACTGCTGCCGAACATGCTCCACCTCTTGGTCCCGGGAGGCCACCTCCTCCTTCAGGGCCCCCTTCAAGGCTGTCAGCTCCCGCTCTCGCAGCCTTAGCTGTTCCTCTATCCGCTGCTTCCCCTCCAAGACCTCTTCAAGAAGTTCTCGGGTCTCCACCAGGTCCTGGAGAAAATGAGGCAGAAACACAGAATGATTATATTAAAATGCATCTACCCACTAATTCATTCATCCATCCATCCATCGAACAAAATATTTCCTGAGCACCTTCTATGTGCCAGGCTAGGTACTCTGTCCTTCAAGAGAAAGCTCACTAAGGAGTAGCTCTAATATGTCACCTGCTTTCCACACTTTGGAGAAACTGGATGAACAGGCTTGAAGACGCACAGGTGACAGAAGGCAGGGGTGAGGATTCCTCAGACTGCTCCCTACCTTCATCAGCACCTCCTTTGTAGGCTCAGGACCCTGTTTCAGCTTGTTCTGCAGCTCCTCTACCTGGGTCTCCAGTCCATGTCGTAACCGTTCACCCTGGTCCAGAAGGAGCTTCATGCTTTGAAGTCTAATAAATAATAATATGTAAGATTTAATAAGCATTTGTGTATTTTTTTAAGTAAAAAAAAAGGGAAACAAAATCCCATTGCTATTAAATCAATTCCATCCCACGGTGACCTTCCATCAGGTTTCTGAGGGTGTTAATGGAAAGACACTGCCTCATCTTCTGAATGCAGAGAGGCTGGTGGGTTTAAACTGCCAGCCTTGTAGCTAGCAACCTGATGCTTAACTACTATGTCACAAGGACTGTCTATTGAGCACTAGACTTAGGAAATAAAAAACTTTACATAATAACTCATTTAAACATCCTTCATGTCTTTGTTCAGTTCTTAATCCCTTCTTTATATCTTTGTTCAAATCTTAATAAGGCCTTCCCTATCTGATTTAGCACTGCAACTTACTCCCCATAACCAGCCCCCTCAATATATTTTATCCTGCTCTGTTACACCTCCTAATGGTTTTAGTGGTAAGGAATTGCACTGCTATCCCAAAGATGTGTGGTTAGAATGCATCAGCTTCTACACAAATGAGAGAAAGATGGTCAATCTCCTCCTGTGCCATTTACTGCCTCTAAAAACTGGAGGGTCAGCTATGGGTTAGTTCGGACTTGACTATATACAACAATAACATATTACAAATTTATTTAAATAAAATGTGTTTGTTGTTTGCTGTCTGTCTCCCCTCCTCACTAGACATTAAGCTTCTAGAGAGCAGGGCTTTCTCTTTATGATTCACTGTTGTACCCCAAGAACCAACATTAGTCCCTGCCATGCATTATTCATTGTGCAAATATTTACTGAATGAATGAATGAATGAACCGCCACAGCAATCATCTGAGGTAGGTACTAATTATTATCCCCATTTTACAAATTAAAAATATGAGGCACAAAGGCAGACCCCCAGCATAGCTCCAAAGGCGTTGTACTCATTACACACTAGCCTGTCTGACATAAAGGGGAAAGTAAAAGGTCTGTCTTTAAACCCTCTCTGCTTATTTCAGCTTTTGGAGGTTTCCTCTGTGTCTCCCTGAACCCTGGGGATGGATATCCAACTCCATCAGAGCCCTCTAGCAGCCCCACGTGCACAGAGAGCTGCACTCACTCCTTGACGCTCTGCTGGGCCTCCCCCTTCTTCCTGTCCAGAAGCTCTTGCAGTCGGCTACACTCCTCTGCCTTTTCCTCCAGCTGCCGCTCCAGCCTCACCCGGGATGGCTCCAGCCTCTGACGCTTCTGGAAAGGGGAAGGAAAATACACTAGGTGGAAAGTGGGAAAAAAATCTCTGAAGGAGAGATAACACGAATGCCTAGCATTTATTAAATATTTTACTGTACGACAAGCACTGTATTAGGAACCTTAAGTGTATTCTCAGCATCTAATCTTTGTAACAGTCCTTGGTACTAGTAATAGTTTAAAGTAGTCCAAATATGTCCAGAAGAACTGGAAAGTGCCTGATTACCATTTACAGAATGTTTTGATCAGAGTCTACAGAAGAATCCTGATCTAAAGGAGGATAAGGTTGAAGAGAATTTAAAATTTGCATAGAATGCAGACTTTCTGGAACTGCAGAGGCTGGATAAATGCCTCTGAAACTACTACTCAGAGACAATCTTGAAACCCTCAAATCAAACATATAGCCTGAAGTCTTCTTTAAACTCAACAATAGATTCCCTTAAATTAGCTGTTTAAGACCTAGCTTTATGAGATCTAATAGCAATAAGAATGATAAGAAATGTCAGGGGCAGGGAGTTGGTTTGTAGCGGAGAAACAATTCTGAAAAGGAGGCTGATAATGACTGAACAACTTGAATGCAATCAATGACAATGAATTGCATAAGTAGACATTTTTGCATTTTTTTAACTCTCTACTATGTATATACCCTTAGCAACAAAAACGTAAGTCTACATAACATTTGGTATTCCTTTTTAAAGGTGAAACATAATTTCTCCTATGAACATCCAAAACTTTTCTAACTGGGTAAAAAGGGAAACCACAGACTGGGAAAAAATATTTGGTAATGACATGTCTAATAAGACACTTAAATCTAGAATTGATAGAATACTCCAGCACCTCAACAAGATAAACAACCCAATCACAAAGTGGGCACAGGATATGAACAGACACTTCACCAAAGAAGACATTCAGATGGCAAAATAAACACATGAAGAAATGTTCAAAATCCCTAGCTCTCCGGCGCTGGCTGAACATCACCTGTGACTTCATCCATAGCCACTGGTGAGAGTCAGCGCCCAGAGCCATCAGGGGCTTTAAGCTCGTTGCCCACTGCTGTGGTGTGGACAGCTGAAACCCAGG